TAGGCAAATGTGTGCCATTATCCTTAAGAACTCCAATGCCTCCCAAATTCAAAATTTCTCTGAAGTTCTCTCCAAGGGAAGTGTTCTCCATTGGTGAGACATCCTCATTCAAATCATGTGCTCCATTAAGAACTTCCTCATCTAATGGGCAACTCTCTATATGTTCCTTGCCATCATTACCTTGCAACTCTACATTTTCCTCCCAGCTTGGTGTCTCCATCTCAATGCATTTATCAAATATTTCTTCATCTCCCTCTCTAAGATCCTCATCATCCTTTTTATTTCTCTCAACTTCATGACCTTCATTTGGCAAGAGCAACTCTTCTAGAACCTCTCCATTAAATGAATCTTGAAGTGGCTCTTGAATTGTCAAATCTTGCTGTCGAGCCATCATGTGATCGAGTCGAGCATTCATGTGATCAAGTTGAGCATTCATGTGATCTTGTAACTCCAGATATTTCGAGCACAATTGCATTAACTTGGTCTCTTTGGACTTCATCTCAATTATTTGGTCAAGTGATTGACAATCTTGTTGAAACTCTTGGTACGGCAACTCTTGAGCTCGCCCTTGATACTTGTAATTGGGATCCATGATAAAGCAATTTTCCGCCTCATGAGATCCACCACATATCATGCACCGTGAGGGTTGTGGAGTAGGTGGTGTGCATCTTTGATAAGTAGCTTGACTCATGTTGGCACAAAATCCTTGAGTAGATTGTTGATGGATATGGTTGGTGGGGTTGAGCATGTAACAATTTTCCACAAAGTGATTCCCACCACAAAATGAGCACCATTGGGGTTGTGATGTTTGATATGAACTTTCTTGATAATATCCTTGACTAGAGTTGGCAAAATTTGAGAAAGGGAATTGTTGTTCCATTCCTCCATATTCTCGATTCATATTCCAACTCATCTCATAACCTTGAGAAGGAGGGTAAAACGGTGGCATGGTTCCTTGGAATGCGTATCTATCCATAAACTAAATCACACTCAAAACAATGAACTAGTTATGGGTTAGCAAAATAAAATAAAATAAAATAAATAAAAATGGACTAGTCTCCTAGAATAAAGATTTCACTAATGTTAATACTAGAAACACCGCCTCCTCGGCAACGGCGCCAATTTGATGCGTAGTATATTTGCGAACAAATAATTCTCGGAGTACGAGTTATCGATCCACAGGGAAGTGGTTGTATCAAGCACTAGTTACTAACTTATTCATTGGAGCTAATCCTAACAATTACTTAGATGATTGATTGGCATAAAATAAATAAAATAAAACAGAGGTTCAGGATTTTGAAAACAATTAGAGAGAAGTTGAGATTCATGGGATTCAAGTATTTAATCACCTAGTGCCAATTATCGTTTGCAATATTTAATTTGGAATTAAGATTTGTGTGGGAATGCAAAGTGGAATCGAATTACTCCCGTAATCTCTATTCCTAGTGAATTTCCACTCCCATGGCTTAAACACCCAATAAGATCAAAGATCAGCATTCAATTATTCCTAATTACTACCATCTCCCGATGAGCAATAATCTAGAATAAACTTCCCCTAATAAGTTCCCCTTTCCCAAGGACCAACCATTAGGTGCAATCATGTGTGCCCTAATTTATGCCCCAACTCCCATTGGTGACACAAACATGGCTATGAAGCTAGTAACTATGGCCATTAATTACAAGCATCAAACAATATTATCACGATTGCAACACAAGTATTAAACCCAAATAATAATATATTAAAGAAACTGAGAGCTCAGGCACATAGGTTCATAAACACTTTTACCCAAGAATCTCTAAAGAATTTAGCCAAGCATGACTAAATTATACATAGCAAATATAAATAAAGAATTACAAATCATCAAAAGAGTACAAGAATTAACCAGACGATTTTCCCAAATCTCCCTAGTCTTCTTCTTGCTTTCCAAGACAACTTGTGGCTCTTGATTTCTCTCCTTCTTGTCTCCAAGAATCTCTGAATTCTCTCGGTCTCTCCGGTTGTTATTAGGGTTGAGGAAGGAGGGATTTTATAGTGGGTACAAAGTTGAGATGAAATAGGAATCTTGTACAAAATTGGACTCAAATTATAATTCCTATATTTAAATAAAGAAATTGGAAGTATTTAATTTAAAATTGAAGTTGGAATTGGAATTTGGAATTGAAGTTGAATTGGGAAACATTGCAGCCACTAATCACTTTGCAAATTTGATATTAGAATGCACTGCTTCGCCAATTTGATTGTCGCTCGACGCGTCGAGACCTGCTGTCTCGACCGGAATGTGTACTGGAAATTTTCGACGAAGGCTCGACGCGTCGAATCCTCTGGGTCCCGAACTTGTCTAAAATTGCTCCGAACTCATCCTTGAACTCCCCTTGCTCATATCTTTGACCTAAAATGGTTCAAAATCACTAACAAACATCGTAAAACATTCAAAACAAGTGCGAACCATAATTAAATGATAATAGCAAGGAAAATATGTATTAAATAAGCAAAATTAAAGAACTTAATTACTGTGATGATTCAAAATAATTATAAAAACAAGCACAGATGTGATAACATCAACCACTTAGAAAGTCTAGACTTAGCTCTTCCTAGGCTCAAACCTAGGCTCTGATACCAACTGTAACACCCCCCAAACAAGACCTATATAAAAGCCTTAACACATGCAGATTAAACAACAAAACTAGCACAGCAGAAGATAAAACGAGACTGGATAAAAGAAATCCAACGGGGTGTCACGCCACGTCTACCAAACACGGTAAACGCTACGGCAAACAATCTGCAAGTGTATACATCTATCCCAAAACATCAGTCTAACTACATTGGCGCACAGGCCACAAAAGCCAGGATAAAGGTGCTAAGCTACCAGGATCTAGACATCGCGCTCGTCTAAACATCACCTGAAAGATACAAAGATAAACATTGGGACGACACCCGGTCAGCGAATAATGCTGGTAACCCACCAATACCGTTAAGTATCATAAATAGATAGATATAAGTCATCAAAAAAACCATTTTCGAAACGGAATACATATATGATAGGAATATTTTTTTGTAAGTTTTGATGAGCCAAATGTACTTTAGATCCCCTTAGTTTTTAGGTCTTTTAGTACAAGCATCATAAATCAGAATATCGAGTCAAAAGGAATCTACCAGTATTCATCCGAGAAAGAAGCATAAAGAAATGATGTTGCAAAGAATGATCGGATGAGCTTAACGGCGAAATGGTAAAAGTCCTTACTCAAAACGATCACACCCGAGATCGATTCCCCCCAAGGATTTATTTTTACAAGTCAAATTTTCGGACAAGCACAATGTGCAAAAGAGCACGATGTTCACCAAGGAGCACAATGCTATCAAAAGAGCACAATGTATAAAAAAGAGCACGATGTATAAAAAAGAGCACAATGTGTGCTAAGGAGCACAATGTTCAAAAGGAGCACAATGTGAACAAGCACGATGTGCCCAAAAGAGCACAATGTGACCAAATCAGAAAAGCACAATGTTCAAGTCAAGGAGCACGATGTTCAAGTCAAAGGAGCACAATGTGGCAAAGAAGCAAGATGATCAGAAATTGGATTAATTCGAAGGAATTTATTCCAAGTCTACCCACATGCCGCAAGAATCCAAAATTGCCTGAAAGACATTTGATCAGAACGGAAAAATATTTATGATGACATGAATATAAAAACTTATCCTAGAAATAAATTCTATCAGATGAATTTATTTCAAAGATACGTTGGATATTCAATATGACAAGAAAAATAATATTTTAAGAAACAACTAGAAAATCAAGTTGTGATAAAATATTATTTGTCAGGCAAGTTGACAATCAAATCAAAATTGAAGACCTACTATTGTCAACAATATCAGGCTATGAAGATTCAAATTTCAAAAATCAAATTATCCCACTCCAACGGATATATTTGATTGCCTATAAAAAGCCATGAAGACTTGAAGACAAAAAGTGTGTGGAGCAGAGGTGTACAAGATAGACACAAGATAGAAGTGCAATACACACGAAAATTCAAAAAGTGCAAGTGCTCAAATATTCTTAGAGACCTAGTCTGAATAGTCTCAAAAATCTAGTCAGAGAGAGATACAATTACCTTTGTATTTGTAATTGTAAAAAGAGTATAGCTGTGTGCAAAATACTCTAGTGAGTGTAGCTGTGTGCAAAACACTCGTAGTTGCTGAGTGTAGCTGTGTGCAAAACACTCGTAGTTGCTAAGTGTAGCTGTGTGCGAGACACTTAGTTGGCGTTGAGTATAGCTGTGTGCGAAATACTCGGAGTTGAGTGTAGTTGTGTGCGAGACACTCGGAGTTGGGTGTAGCTGTGTGCAAGACATCCGGAAGAAGTGCTTGTGTAGCGCTTATTCACTATTGTAACTGTGTGTGGAAAAATAGTGAATTTCTCCTAGACGCGAAAGGAGAAAAGTGGACTAGGAAGATTACGCCACTTCCGAACCACTATAAATTGCCTCTCTCACTTACATACCGCACTTACATAATTTGCTCTATCTATCTATCTTATCCGACTAACCCGTTTACTATTCACAGTTAATCTTAATCTTTCGGGTTTAGTGTGTTTTCACGTATGCATGTGATTCAAACTTCTCAAGCTTAAATATTGAATTATTCTAAGCAAGTTTGACGTGTTGCATGGAACATTCATCACACGGTCGACGTGATACGATATTTATTTACAATCTTGAATATTGTTATTACATATTGAGTGAACCATCTCCTTTATATATTCAAGATATCTCTGTCACTTTAAATATCATCTGTACCTATCTTACATGCGTATTTAATTCATTAATTGGGCATAACTCTTTACATACTACCTATTCCGCTGTGCAGTTTAAACTTACTCTATTTACTTGCTACTTAGAGTTGAAGTTACCAAAGAGTTATTTTTTTTTTGAAACAAACAAACAAACTGCATTAATAACTTAACAAACCCGAGATACAAGCCGGTGGGATAAATTCCCACGTACTAGAGACAGACGAGGAACCCTGTTGCCCGTGCTAGTTCATGAGCCACACGATTCGCTGTTCTCCTGACATGGCAAACACTAACGTTTCCAATGTCATTAGCAATAGACACGCATTGCTTAACAATTACATCCAGATAAGAAAAATCACGACTGCAGGAATTAAAAGCGGTACAAAAATTTAAACAGTCTGACTCGAGGATGATATTACGGTAATGTAAATCCTTGAGCCATTTCAAAGCCTCCCTCGCTGCAATAGCCTCCACCATCAGCGGTTCACGGTTGCTCATGATGCGTCCGTTTTTCGCCGCTATAAACCGTCTAGTATGATCTCGAATGATCGCTCCATAACCAGCCCCATCCGAGAATGTGGCTGCGTCCACATTGCACTTTACGGATGAGCTAGGTGGCGGTTCCCACGTTGATGCATGCCCGGCGCGGTCATCATCTCGTGCGTCCCTTCGATTCACCGCTTCCCAGCCAGCTTTTACCCTCATCACTTGCGTATGCATGGCTGCCACAGATGGTTGGATATCCCGCCACACAATGTCATTCCTTGTAGACCAAATCACCCATATGATTGCCGCCAACGTCGTTGATTGCTCCATGGTCGCGTTAGCAAGCCACTGATCCATAGCTGCATGCCCCGACCATTTAAAACATCCTCCTGTCCCCATAGTGCTGTTGCATACGGACACACACAGAACAGATGTTCCATAGTTTCCCAATTGTGACCACAGAACGGACAACCCCCTCCAATCCAGACATGTTTCAGTTTTAGATTCTCACGAACTGGTAACACCCCCCGAGCACAACGCCATAATAAGTTCTTCGCCTTTGGAGGAATTGGTAACGACCATAAAGTGTTCCAAGCGTGAAACTCCCCCACATAATTATTCTCCTCGCCGCTGTTCATAAGAAGCCGATACCCATGTCTCACCGTGTACTTACCCCTTATATCCTCCAACCACCGCCAAGCATCTTTAAATTGAGGGCTCACAGGTGTAGCAAGAATCCGATGAACATCCTCCTCCTGGAAAATGTCATGTAAGATGGCCGTATCCCAAGTTCCGTGAGTAGTAAGTAAGCCACTTACCGTAGCGTCCTTAAGCTCATCTATACAAGGAGTGTATAGAGTCGGTTTGGTGCCATCCAAAAGCCACGGCCAATCCCAAATTCGAGTGTCAAGACCATCACCAATGCGCCTGGCAATTCCCAGCTTCAGAACTTTTTGCCCCGATAGTATGCTCCGCCATATATAACTTGGATTGCCTCCTAAATTTGCCTCCATGAATCCACCCCTCGGGAAATATTTTTCTTTTAGTAACCGACTAACCAGGGATTCAGGATTTGTTAAGATACGCCACCCTTGTTTTGCTAATAGCGCCATATTGAACTCGTGCAGGCGTTTGAACCCCAACCCGCCCCTCGACTTTGCCTCACACAATTTGCTCCATCTCAGCCAATGGATTCCTCGCGTACCCGTTCCACCACCGCCCCACCAGAACCTGTTAAACAGTTTTTCAATGGTATCACAAACACGCAACGGCAACAAGAACATTGACATGGTAAATATAGGCATGGCTTGAGCAATGCTCTTAAGCAAAACTTCCTTCCCGGCCCTCGAGAGGAGTTTATTTTGCCAAGACCCAATGCGTTCCTGAACCTTTTCTTCTACATACCGAAAAGATTCCGTTTTACTTCTGCCCAAAGCTGACGGAAGGCCCAGATACCGGCCTAAATCTGTTGCTTCATTAACCCCGAGGTTGTTAGCTATTAAATTCCATCGCGGTTGTCGTGTTCAAACTGAAAACAGCATTAGATTTGTCGAAATTAATGAGCTGTCCTGAAGCTACACAGTATAGATCCAGACACTCCTTAACCTTCAAAGTTTCCTGTTGATTTGCCCTGAAGCATAATAAGCTATCGTCAGTAAAAAACAGGTGAGTAATGGCTGGGGCACCCCGGGCCACACGCACCCCATGAATATCACCCCTCGCCTCCGCTTGCTGTAGCAAAACAGATAACCCCTCGGCACATATGATAAACAGATAAGGGGACAACGGGTCCCCTTGTCTGATCCCCCTAGAGGGACGAACAGTACCTACCGCCTCCTCGTTGACCTGGATTGTTTAATTTACAGTAGTAACACACATCATCAACAATTCAACCCAGCGCCTTTCAAACCCCAACGCCCCCAACATCCCTTCTAAAAAACCCCACTCCATCCTATCGTACGCCTTAGCCATATCTAGCTTTAACGCAACCCACCCCACTACACCCATTGTTTTCCTCCGCAAATAGTGACCACGGCCACTATTACATTATCCGTCAAGAGCCTTTCTGGGACAAAGGCACATTGCGATTGCGACACAACCTGCTCCAAGCACATTTTAAGTCTATTCGCCAACATTTTGGCTAGCACTTTATAAACCACGTTACATAGCGCTATTGGACGCAAATCCGTCACCCTTTCCGGGACCTTCTTCTTTGGTAGAAGAACAATATTTGATTCATTCAATCCCTCGGGCAAACTTTGATCGGCCACACATTGGAGAATAAAGACGGCCATGTCGTGCCCAAGCACCGGCCAGAAATGCTGGTAAAAGGCCGGTGACATACCATCAGGCCCGGGCGCTTTTTCCGGTGCCATGGAAAAAAGCGCAGCTTTAACCTCAGTGATCGTGAACGGGCGCATCAGAGAGACATTCATCTCGTTCGATACCCGATGCCGGACACGATTCAAGAGGTTCGGATTACTTGAATTGGAACAGAAAATGTGATCAATATACCTCAATATTTCTGAATGCATCGCTGCGTCCTCCCTCCATGTCCCGGATTGATCTTTCACCCTTAGTACAAGATTACACCGTCGACGACCGAACGCAACCTTGTGAAAGTATTTCGTATTCAAGTCTCCATGCCGTAACCACAACTGTTTAGAACGTTGTTTCCAGAAGATCTCTTCTTGCCGACTTAACAGCTCCAATTCCCCTTCAGCATTCTGGAATTCATCAACAGCCGCAGGTGTGCGATCCTCTTTTAACCGATCGAGTCGATTTCGCAAGAACCGGATTCGGTTCCCAAATCTCTGGAAGTGCTCGCCGCCCCATTTCCCCAATCATTGGCCACAAAGCTCTATCCGTTGTTGAAAAGTCAGACCCAGTGATTGACGCCATGCTTCATCAACAACCGTCGCGCAACCCTCTTCTAAGAGCCACGCCGATTCAAACTTAAAAGCTCGCTTTGCCGATCGCACATGCCTTGAATCCGTATCAACAAAAATGGCGCTATGGTCAGAATTCAACGTATACAGATTATGAACCAAAGCCTCCTCAAATATCTCCGCCCATTCCACCGTGGCCACCGCTCTGTCCAATCTCTCCTCCACCCATGCTGCAGTCCCTCTACCACGGCTCCATGTAAATCTACCGCCCACCATTCCCAGGTCATTCAATTGGCAATCTCCGAGGGCGTCATTGAAACCTTCGATCAAGAACTCAGGCTGCGAATGGACTCCTCTTTTCTCTGATAGACCCGCTATATCGTTGAAGTCCCCAACTACGATCCAAGGCAAACCCGATCTGTCCTTGAGGTGGCGCAATAATTCCCAGGTGATGTGTCTCTCGACTCTGTCTGGATTACCGTAAAAACACGTGAGCCTCCATGCAGGCTGTCCCGGCAGTGAGATCGCCATATCGATATGATTCTTTGAATAGCTCAGTAACGATGCTGCGTCGGAATCCCTCCAATACAACACCAAACCTCCACCCATACCTCTTCGCTCCACATTAAACATTCCTTCGAACCCTAACTTAACACGTACATCCTCCGTTTTCTAACTTGTCGCTTTCGTCTCCATGAGGAACACGAAAAAGGGTCGCTGCTTGGACACCATGCCCAAGAGTTCGCGAACTGTCCGGGTGCCACCCAGTCCCCGGCAGTTCCAGCTAAGAATACTCATTTGGCTTGGCGAGCCTGATCCTCCAGACTCGCCGACAACATGTTTTTTGGATCCTCGACCATCGTGACATCCCTCGCAGACAAACTGACTTCTGCCTCTTCTTCGCCTCTGCGTCGCTTGAGATCGCCATGCAAACCCCCACCTTCCTCCATATTCACCAGAACTGCCGGTGAGAGTCCAGGACTAGTAGTCGATGGCCCCATCGGTTGCATACTCGGAGAAGGCAATAACCACTTGGCTCCCACTGGTCTCACTTGACGCCTGCCCCCCGCCCTCATCCACGCCCCAAACGGAAAAGCATCTGGTAAAATACCTTCATCATAGGCCCGACGACAGAATTTATCCGCATGCCCCAGGACCCCACAGCAGAAGCAGAAAGTGCCGATTCTCTCATAACGGAACGTAATCCACTCCGACGAACCATCCTTACGAATGAGTTTCATCCGTCTCTTCAATGGATGATCAATGTGCATCCGAACCCGGACTCGATGATAGCTCCTCCACAATCCGCCAAAACTGAGCGGATCAATAGCAATGAAAGAGCCTAAATAATTGCCGATCCGTTCCAGGAACTCCGTAGAGGCGTACACTGCCGGTAACCCGTGAACCTGAACCCAGATCGATATATGTTCCAGTTTCGCATCCTCGGATCTGATCTCCACCCGGACCTGCGCACAAACAAACGTATGGTTCTCGAAAGTCCACGGACCGTCTTCAAGAACCCTCTGCAGATCCCTCGGGTGGGGGAACTGAAAAAGGAATAACTCATCTGTTAATGGGACGACATGCATACCCATTACAGGCCTCCACACTGAGGCCATAACTTGTTTCATGAATTCATACTTGATCGGCCGGTCCGTAAGAAACCGCCCCACGAGATTGTTGTCGATCGTAGCATCTGGCCCCGTCTGAATATCTGGGGCTTCGACACCATTGATCTCCTCCTCCGCGAGTGACAAATCAGCACATCGCTCCTCAATCGGCCGTAAATCCACGGTGAAACTAGAGAAACGAAACTGACACGCTAGAACGATAAAACACATAATCAACGGAAGATCCATCATCAGAACTTATAAGGAAAACCCTAGAACGCTAGGGAGACACTCCCTTGGTCACAACCAAGAGATGTTGCCACGATTAGAGAACACGATCGGAGATCGTCGTTGGAATCACGATCTGAGTTCACGACTTATACGGAGCACTGGAGCACACTAATTAAACACCAAAGAGTTATTTAAATTGTGAAAAAGTTTAGAAAGTCTATTCACCCCCCCCCCCCCCCTCTAGACTTTCTACCACCCTATCGGGACAAACAATATATATAAGTCAAAACCAAGATCAACTGTCAACACAAGACTCATCACTATCAAGGATAACACGGGAACATATCCCAAACAACAAAGGTTAACCACACGCAAAGAATAAAGACTCACCCAACGGCAACACATGCCAAAACAACACAAGCCTCCGTGACTACACACGTCACGAGAGAAGATCACACAACGCCGGCTTTACAAGCCCTCACAACATCACCCATCACGAGTTGGTATGCCTTCCTTATGCCCTGTTCCAACCTTATGGCTACCCCAACCTTGTACCTTCTTTCCAACCATTACCTCCAGGACCCCTGTACTTCTTAGTCCAACCTTATTCCCCCGGGACCGTCGTCCCCCACCAACAACCACCAACGAAAACCACCAATCACCGCAACACATGCCCGGATAACACATGTTATCCCCCAAAAACGTGGACCCATCACTCAGGCCACAACTCCATAATCATGTCACGCCCACCACGAGGACCGCTGCAATACCTTGGTGACTAGTGTCCCATACTACTAATCGTGCAATCCAGGTAGAGCCACACACGCACCACAACTCAACAAGAATCAAACAACGGATCACAACGAAGGTATGAAACATACTCAATCAAGGAACGGGTCACAGCCCAACGACAACAACGATGGATAACACAAGTTATCATCAACCAAACGGAAGGTACAAACAACAAACACGCTAGCATTAAGACAACAAACTAGCATGCTTATCAACGGGGAAACAAAAGATAGTTCCGAGGAACACACAAGACACCTCTTGGTCCACCGAAACACAATGTTGAACACTTAGCACGATTCAAGACACCAAAGCCCTACATGGATACCAACCATATAGTTCTAGACATACGAAACATCAATAAGACGCTCAAATAGTTCCACAAAAGAACAACGGGAAGCCAAAACACCAAATACCGAGCCAAACAAATCACGGGGAACAAATCCCGAACGAACACCATCGTGTTCCCCGCGGGTGGACCCACGGGTAGTGCCCCACCCGTGGTCCCGCCCGCGGGAACACATCCCCACAGGCCTATGTACCCGCGGGTAGGCCGGCGGGTGGTGCCCCGCCCGCCGTTCCGCCCGCGGGAACATCCCTGTTCCACAACAAATCCCTTCGGGGATTTTCTTCTCCAAACACAAATTCAAGTCCAAAACATGGCAAATCTCACCCAACACAACAAAATGACTTGAACCATGGAAAATGCCAACACAAGCTCTAGATATGCAATATCACAAGAAAAATGCATAAACCCTCACATTTCATAGCAAAACACAAGTAGAATCCAAGAAATCACATATAGGTAAGCAAAATAGGTTTTGTAGAGCATGGGTTACCTCTTGAAGACCAAAAGACTTCACTTTACACCACAACAAGCTCTCCACAAGGCTTACTTTCCAAACCCACTTCAAGATTAAACCAAAAGATCATAAAGATCCTACCTTTAAGAAAAAGACAACTAAGATGGAACCAAAAACACAAGATGAACTTAGATCTTACCCTCCTAGATGCCCAAATAGGTGAAAGGTTGAATCTTGGAAGCAAATCTTGGAATCTTGACAAGGGTCTCAACTTGGCTTGGAGAATAAGCTACACTTCTTTTCTAGAGAGAAGGTAGAACTATTTTCTAAGAATTGTAGGGAATGAAATGAAGAAGTCTTCTAGGTTAGGTTACAATACTAACTCTTGGTGAAAAGACAAGAATACCCTTACTAACCCTAGAAAGTGTAAGGAACAAGGGAACTCCCCTCAAAGCACAAAGTACAACACAACTTAAAGGTTGACTAGTCAAATTCTAGTCCTTGAGTATTAAAAATCAAGATTTTAGGAATTAATTCCTCAAATGAAAATAGAATTAATTACTCAATTAATCCATGGATTGAATTTGGATTTTTGGGGTGTCACACTGGGGACACTCCGCGACTTTGTGTCAACGATCTCCACATCATAAACACCGAAGCGCGAAGCCGTTGCAACTTTGACCGACATGCATCTTCCCACACCTATGACAAGGAGGTGCCTTGACTTGATTCCCTTGCTCCATCCGGTTAGGTCCTTGAGAAGAGGATGACACGCTCTTGGCTTGAAAACTCGGTCGGGGCTTCTTGAAGGTGGAAGAACCTCCGCTCTCAACTCTCTTCCTAGCTAGCTCATAAGATCCTTTCTGCAGCTGCTGAACGCGATACAGATCCGCGGCACTCATATACGAATCCTTAAGGGAACTTAGTGTCTTTATTTTGCATACCATGAATAATGGTGGGTAATCACATAATGAGTATTGGTGCTTATATGGGGATTGCTTGTAATTAATAATATTGCATATAAGATTATCATAGCTAGGGTACATGTGTACGGTTTTGGGGCTAGGGATATCATTGTATATAATATGACTGTAACAATTTATATGAATATTTATGAATAAGGGAGGATGTTCTAGGGGTTCACAAGTCTATATATATATATATATATATATATATATATATATATATATATATATATATATATATATATATA